CAAGTAACCAACCTCTAGTCTTCTTCTGCTAGGCACTTGAATTCCTTATGTTTTGGGAGGTCGGGGGTAGTTCTGACAAGGGATGGTGAAGGAAAGTGATGTGTTACTTCTGTGTCAGAGCACCTACGCCAGTGTGAGACCCTTCTCAATGTTCTTTTCCTCAGGAGTGGCAACTAGTGATGTTTGGGATGTTAGCTGTTTGATCCTTGAGTCAACGTGATGAACATTTGTCAACCTTGCTGACCTGTGATGGGCATGTAGCAAGAATGAAAAATAAGTCTGCTGTTTTCAGCCTCTGAGATCTGAAGGTTGTTACTGCAGCACAACCCAGCCCATACTGACGGACACTTTCACCTTGTTGGATTTCAATGCATCACTGAATTCTGCGGCCTTACCAGATAGGAGGGCACTAGAAGGAGCAGGAGGCTGTCTCTTCCGGCAACCGAGCGCTTGGCTCAGCAGCTCAGTTTCCTGCAGAGAGTCAGTAATTTAGAGGCAGATGTGCAGAAATGGATGTACCTTCCACTCTCTTCTCCACAGGCTGCCTTCTAAATTAATTAAAAACTGGGGGTTGGCAGAGACAATAGTCTATTAAGTTGGAACGTTCTTTTACACTTTTTGCAGTCTGCACTCGTATTTACCCGTGGCTTTGGCAGTTGTGTTTCAGGAGAGGTTGCAGGGTTCCTCTCCTGGTGGGCGAAAGCCTCGTACTTTTTAGATATGAGTGGGACCCACTTCCCCAGAGAGGATCTAGCATCTGCAGGGCTGCTCGTGGAGCCGAGCAGCTGCGGGAACAGTCCTGGCACTGCCAGTGCTCTGTGAGCCTCAGGCCTGACAGAAGGCACATGGGCTTCAGTCTGCTATGGTGCACAGGTATTCCTTGAGCAGAGCAAAAACCAACAACCCTCTTCAGTGTACCTCTCACTGAAGGAAAGTGGCTATCCACTGTGAAACAAAGATTAAAAATATAAGCTTAGTGACACCGTGTGTGTGTGTGTGTGTGTGTGTGTGTGCAGCTTGTTGAATCTCAGGAACATAAAATGACAAGAGAAATGGGCAAGGGACAAGATTTAATTGAATAAAAACTCCAGGCTGTGACAGGGGTGGGAAGACACAAAGCATTAATTAACAACATAATTTTTTAAATGATGATACAATTAATTAACATTCTGGGTAAGCGCAGAAAGGAAGGGGGACATCCAAAGCACAGAAACACTGCTAAATAAAGGAGAAAGGAACTTGGTGTTTTTAATAAGCATCTATGTGCAAATGGTCCTGGTTGTTACAACTTCAGCAAAGTTCACCACTACCACACAAGGGGTTTCTCATGCCAGAAGAAGCTGATTATCAGTTTATTCTAATATTTGTATTTCAGTTTACTCTCATCTGTGTGCGGGAAATACTGGGCTAGTTAGTGAAATGGGTGAACCCATTTTTCAGGTTGAGGACTGGTCTCCCTTGGAGGAACTGGGAGGGATGGGGGAGGTGGTCCAGAAGCTAAATGCCTTCCTGGGGTGACTCCCATGCCTGTAGGAATTACCCAAGACTGCTGGAGCCAGAGTGGTAGCTGTTGGCTAGGGCAACATGGGGGCTGGCCACAGTTTGTTCAGAATGTGATTTTCTGAACCTGTTGGGAGGTTTACTCATGAGAGAGAGCTGCTTGGACATACGGGGTATCTCTCAGGTGCACAATGCCATGATTTGTGCAATCACACTCTTTTTCCCAAAGGGTTAGAGTAGGACATTCCTGCCTACTTTAGGGTTTAGAAGTGACAGCTGGACATGCATTTTGAGCTCACTTTTGGAAGGACTCTCTCACACTAATGTCTAGCCTCCTTAGGATTCAAGACATGCATTTGTCCCCTTCTTAGTTGCAAGACCCTTATCATCTGCTCAATGATTGAGATGGCCATCTTGATGGGGCAGTCTAGAGTCAAGAACATAATGAAGTTTGTCGCCTGCTGGGAGTCTTGTCATGACCTTGGGTTATTCTCACTCTCAACATAGCATCCAAATGTAGGATTGCCTGGCTAGGAAGGCCTGTTAGTCACAAGACATTTAGCTCATTTCAATCTTGTCATTTTTTTTAGAACTAGCAGAGACTACTTACAGTTCTATCAGCAGAGAAACCTGGTAACTTGCCTTAAAATGAATTTTATTAAGTTGCTGCTTTTATAGCGTGTGACATAGAGAAAGAGTAAGACACAAGGTGTGTGAAGAGCTCCTGTGTTCTTGACCTTCCATTGTTGAAAGAAGGGGTCCATCAGTGGACTTGCTTCTTGTAAGTCCTACCACAGCTCTGGAACCTGGCAGTGTGTGGTCACAAGTTGAAGTGGAAGCTCACCTCTGTGTGCTCACCAGGGCTATATAGACTGAGATTGAACAAATCAGTTGCTTAGAGGGCTTGGTGGGAGGACCACTATTCACTCAATACGAATGGACTATTACAATGCAGAATAGTTCTAACTTTTCTAAACTGAATTTGGCCTAAAATAGAGATCTAAAGGAAAAACAAAAACAATTCCCCTCACTACCACACAAACAACACTGAACACTTAGTATATTATAGAACTAAAGCTTAAGATGAGGGTTGTCCAAGAGTCCATAGGGGCTGAAACAGGCTCAGGCTGACTGGTTTCAAACAAGAAGATGCTCTTCATAGAGAGACAGACTCAAACTACTGCCTGAGCTTCAAAACTTCCCACTCAGACATGAACATTTTCATCTAGATTTTTCTTTGATCTGTTTAGGCATTTGAAACATCTGCTTCCTACTTCATGGAATTATAAAGCTCTTAGAACGCAGAAATCATTCTGGAACATATGTGCTTCTCTTTCTTTACAATGAAGGTTATTTTTGAGAACTAAGATCTGTTTGCAAACAAATGTGTTCATTAACTGGGACGTGTCAGAAAACATATGGCGTGGTTAGTTTCCGCAGTATCATCCCTAAAGAAAGTGACTAAGTTCCCACGCAGAATCAAAACATTTCCAGTTGAGAAGGAAATCCAACAAGGAGGAGCAAGGATCCCTGTACATTAGTGGAAAAGTCACAAACCCGTGATTTCAACATGGGATCAGGAGTCTGAATCTTGGCTTGCAATCACACCAATGAAGAGCTTCAAAAGTGACAGTTGACCTTGTAAAGGCTTTTTGATTGATTTGTGCCATTCCTGAAGGGCACTAAAGATATAGCCATTGCTCCCCCAGCCCTGCCTCCTTCTCCAGGGTTGCAGAATGTAGTGAAGACAAAAAAATTTCAGAAATTCAATCCACACTCCCTGGAAAAGAATGCTACTTTACATTATATTTAATAGAGCCGGTCTCAGGCTCTCCATTCTTTGTTTTATTTCCTACTCATTAGTTTGTTTGCTTATTTGTTTGTTTTTTCTTCTTTTCTTGACAGCAGACTCATACAAAGTGAAAACCACAGAAACATCACCTTGAGAGACAGAAAAGACTAAGACAGATCTGATCACATGACAAGTGTCTCGGCCTTCACCTACACAGGAGCAGTTAAGACTCTGGAGTGGCAGATGGCTGTGGCCGCCACCCCGACTGCACAACACTGTGCTTAGACAGCTGAACAAGTGTGAAAAGAACATTGCAGAGTCCCGTTTGTGTGACTTGTTCGTGCAGCTCATGGTGTCGGAGGTGGTTTCGGAGAGGGACACGAGCTCTCACTGTCAAAGCTGGCAGCTCGGCCCTGCCACTGAGGAGAGGAGAAACCCTGGTTAGTGACTGCCAATAAGAACTGACATTTCAACTTCCAAAACTTTACTGGCTCATGCACTGAATTCACCTTTTTCCAGCTTTTCAGTAAGCTTTCTCGATTTTTGCTGTCAGCCATGCAAAAACATAAGGAAAACAGCTTAGAGCTTCTAGTTTGGAAGACCTGATTTCCAAAAAGACCTACTGCAGAGACAATTTCAGCTTCCTTCACAATGTGGAATGGGTGTGTGGATGTGTGTGTGTGTGTGTGTGTTAATGAGGTGCTATGACTGAACCGTTGCTTTGGCCATTTTTCACACTGAAAATCAGCTTATGTTAGCAGCGAAAGAGGCAGTCTGCAGAGTGTGGTCTTACTGCCAAGAACGCACAATCATGAATTATTAGCAATTTGTCTGGGAGCTGTTAGTACAGCAAAAAAGAAAAGCTGATACTGGTTTGGTTTGGGCCCTCTCCTTTAGTCTTAAGGTGTCCTCTGGGCACTCACACCCTGCATGTGAAGGGGTAGAAGATGCAAGGAATGGCAACCCCTTCCCCTTTTGGGTCCCTCCATCCCTTTTTTCCTCCTCAGGCCTCCCATCTCACGGATCATCTCCTCCCAGACAGCCTCTAACCTGCTTTGGAAATGGAGGATGTGATGAGTGAGGTGTAATGAAGGAGTGAATGAGGATGGATGGACCTGTTCTTTTGAGCCATTCCACCTCTCTTTAAATGGAAAAGCCAGCCATAGCTATGCAATGTTTCCTGGCCAAGGATCTGATCCTATGAATATTCTAGACCTATCTGGAGGTGATCTGACTTCAAAGTGAGTCAGTGTCCACTCATCACTGCAGACAGTGAGAAACCACAAAACCAAGGAGTCACCCAGACCTGCAAGACTACCCTAAAGCTCCCAGGTGTAAGAAGGACCTTTGCTGTCCCTCTCTGGGCTCAGTTCTTCATGGGCTCCTTAGTAATTCTTGTGCAGACCAACCTGAAGGTCTTTACCACTAGCTAAGGGCTGAACAATCAGGTATTGATGACCTAGACCTGAGCAATCTCAGCATGTCAGAACTGGAGGTGGCCTTGGGAGGTCAGCCAGTCCAAACTTCTTATTAGAAAACAAAGACACAGAGAAGTCAAGATGCAGCCAGTTGGGGAAGAGCCAAGTCCTTGCTCCAAACTCAGTGCTCCTTCCATTCCATCACATGGCATATGGCCACACGAGGGAAGGAAGGAGACAGGAAATGTAATAAGCAACCTAACCTCTTTGGGTCCACACCAGGTACTTACTCCTAACTCCAGGTGGCAGTCTCTCTGCTTGCAGCGTCCACGTGAGTGAAATCACAATCGAGAGTTTCCCTGGTGAAATATTTTAGATAAATAAATGCCTGGTTGTTGAGCCCACTGTGACTTCTGACTCAAGTGTCACTTAACCAGAAGGTGACATAAGATGATTACTAACACAGCCCTTCATTTCAGGAGTGAGACTTTTTCTGTTACCACCTTTAATGTCAGTGAAAGGTACATGATAATTCTGGCTTCTCCCTTGGGTAACCACTTAAACAACCTGATTGATAGGCCAAGTCAGAGCAAAAAAAAAAAACAAAAACAAAAACAAAAAAAACCCTGAAATGGCCACACAAAGTACCTTTTTCTTTATATAACAGCCCAAAGAGAAGTCACACAGAGCATAATCGTTTATCCGGAACAAATGAAGAAGGAACACTGGCTCACTGCGAGTCCCTGATTTTTTCTGTGATGATAAACACAGGGAATAGATGCGGTTTATGAACAGTGGAAAGGTAGATTCTGGGGTGCTCATCGAGGTAGCTCTGAAATAGCAGAGGCCCTGTCCCCAGTGTGCAGGAAGCTTATTGTTCCAGGAGAGCTGGTCCCAATAAGGTCTTTTGTTGATTCTGCAATGGGTCATGTTCCGACAGAGATCTAAAATCTATGGCAAGTGATCTGAACTTGGCTCTTTGTAATAAAGCACCTTGGAGAAGGTCACTGGTCAACCAGGCTCTGTGTGGTGACAACACTCAGCACTACACAGGAGTGCTGAGAAGGAAGGAGCTGGGGAAGGGCACTTGCTATGGCTTAATGAATTTTTATTCATGAGAGATAGCAGCAGGGAAAAAAATACCTTTTCAGTTAATTTGCTTCCCTTAACCTTATTTTAAACCCAAAACAGGCGAGCAAGTCTGGTGCCCTCTGTTCTCATTAATAAAAAAGAAATGATCCAAGTTTGAAACTCTACTAAGAAAGGTGTAAGATAGAGAAAGCACTTTGCAGATATGAGGCCATTTGTCTTCCCGGGAGCTGGAGAAGAAGATTTCTTGGTGGATTATACAGATGGGAGGCGTTCCAAGCTTCAGGAGCAATGCTCTTTCTTATTCAGTGGCCAGAACAGAACCAACAAGAAGGCAGATGTAAGCTCTAAAGAAGGCTGGGAAGCTGTATGTCCAGCACAGGGCACCACGCTCACACAAAGTGTGTTGATTTAATATTAGGTTGGCAAGATGTTAGATGCAATTTTATAAAGATACTTAAACTGTGGGTGCTAAAAGTGTCAGTAAAAACTCCACACCAAGGCGTACTGCTGAAATCCCAAGTTGCCATTTTCAGCTTCTTCATGCAGGGAAATAAATGATCAACTGAGCAGAACCTGGAAGGATGGCGAGTGGGGGAAGGGCAGTCTCTGCACTCAGTGTGCCAGGTCAAGAAAAAAGTAAACCCAAAGGGTATGAATCAATTTAATCGCTTTTCGTTTTCCCTGTACTGGCTCATCAAATATTCATTTTTCAAGAGCTTGATTCTACTTTATCTTTCTATTGTCTCCTGGACTAGTGAGTCAGAGTTCTCAAAGAAACAAGACTTGGAATCAATGATTTGGTTTAATGAGGTTGTAGTCATCACGATTCTGAGGCCCAGACCTGGCAATTCTGTGATGCCCTGCACCCTGCTCCAGCCTGCCAGTCTGTTGGCTACTTCTTTTGCCAGGGGCAGGCCAGGTCTGTGATAGTGACAGATTAAATTGCAGATTCATGGTTAGAAAGGCAGTCACAGTGCAACATGTGGGCTCCTGGGCCCAGTTGTCATTCAGTGGCAGTATTTCTAAGAAAAGCGGAGATGGGAGAGGCCTATCCCTCATTTACCAACTAAAAAACCATAGACCAAGTGGGGCAGTGCGTTGCTTATGGCTCCACAGCCCTCCAGAGGCCTCTTAGCCCAGCCCCTAAACCACCCTAAACAGTTTAGTGGTCTATTCTTAAATGTCTCCACAGGATTAAAAAGGGGGAAAGACTGTCATGGCCCCTTCCTGGGTTGAATCCACACTTCCTTCAGTGAGGCATGGACTCCAGGTTGTCTGGAGTTCGGCTCTGTAGCAATGCTGCATATGACTGGGAGTGAGTGCCTAACCCACACTCTGGGGAGAGACCCTTCTGGAAGAACTGGACAGGGTTCTCTTGGGGAACCAGAACTCTGAGAGACTGTCTTCATTCATTAAAGCCCTATAGCTGTGGTAAAACTAAGGCATTCACGAGGAAGAAATGTGAAGCCTAAGTGGACAGGAACTTGGTCTATGCCTGACTCATTAATGTTCCCTCAAGGCCACAGAGCAGGAGCTCTGCAGAGTACACACCTACCTGGAGAGGTAAGCCAACTAGCCTGGCTCCCTAGAAGCCACTATCTCCCACAGGTGTCATGTGTCTAACTCCCTCAACTCACAGTCTCTCTTGGGACACCTCACACTGGGTTGAAATACCATGTCCACCCTGGGAAGGGAAGGGAGGCTGCAGGTCCCCAAGTGGCCCTACATTTTCTGTATCACAGAGTTGGGGGTTACCCTGTTTTTAAGTTGATGAGCCAGGTGGTTGAAAGGATAAAGTTTCATTTTTGTATTAGATTGTCTAACGTTCTACAGCTCTCTAGACTTACTAGGTTTGAAGCCTGTTAAGATCAAAGAATGACCACTTAGCTTTCTAGGATGGACTGGGGTATGGGATCTTGAGAATGAAGTTCAAAGCTTGCCTAACCACCCCTATATCCCAACCCACTTCAGAAAAAAACAGGTCCAGGGATCACCACGGTGATAGATGACAAGATCTTAAATTGGTGGGATCTGGTGGAGGTGAGGCCCACTGTAGATATCACTCAAAGGGACATTTTGTTTGCAGTTGAGAGAGAAGTGATGGTAACTAGGACAGTAAGTCAAGAGGGGCCAAGATGGAAGCCCTAGCCCAGTGCTCTCAGGTAGAGCCCAGAATGAGGGCTTTTTCCAGAAAACATGACACCTTGAGACTATACTCCTCTCCCAACAATGGTGAAAACCAGCCTTCCTAAGAGAAAGAATGATCTTTGACCATCTCCAGCTAAGTCGTGAAAACTGCCGAGTGACTGACTGCCTGACTGGAGCCTCAGGGAACTTACTGTTCCGACAGGCATAGGATTTCTTGCCAAGTTCTAATCTCACCTCCCTGGGGCTTTCTCATAAAGGAGTAACTTGGCCCAAGGACTTTGTGAAAGCTTTTCAGGCCTGGCACAGTGGCCTGTTTGAAAGACTTCTTCATATTTTCCATTAAGAACTCAGCGCTGCTTTCAAAACGCCCAGCATCAGGAGCTCTTTGTCAGGCAGCCTCTACCTTCTTCCTCATCTACCTGTTACATATTGCGTGAGAAGTATGTGGTTCCCATGTCCCCTTCCCACAAAAGGCAAAGGGGCTTACAGCAGCCAACTGCCATTCTCCAGCCCACGCCATCATGCAGCAAACATGCCAAGGGCCAGGCGACCTTACCCACCTCTTTGAAGGATTTCTTTACCTCCACTAAGGAGTGCCAGTGTGCAATAGGCTTCCGTGGATATGCCAGCATCTCGTTCCAATGGTCCCTGCCCAGGCCTTCAGCATTGATCCCCACTCGACAGACTCCTATGATCTCATTGTGGCCCACTCTGAGGGAGAAGCAAAGGCCCCAACATTGGCTACCAGACATGCTCTCAGAAAGGGAGGTCCTGGGGGCCTAACTCAGGCCTGTGAGGGCTAAAAACCAATGCTCAGCAGGGCCTTGAGCTGTCAGTGCCCCTGAGGCTTTGCCCAGCCTCCTTGGTATAAACAGACGTTGGACACAGAGAAATGAGCAAGGGTTACCAACTTGTTTCGAATCTTGGGAAACAGTGTCAGATTGCTTGACTGGAGATTGGGAGTCTGTCTCTTCCCTTATTTGACTTGACCAGCACGTCACAACCTTGCTTGTAGACATCAGCACATGGACATAAATCAACCTACTCTGAGTACCATTTGTCTACACCCCAAGCAGCTGGACTGTGATTTATTCACTTGGCCAGAACATCAATCATCACTCAAATATGTTAGTCAAGCACCTACTATGCCAGAGAACTTTAGCTAAAAATTCAGGCCTGGAGCTTTAGGGCAAGGTTTCTGTCTCCTTCGGCTAAAGTGACAACTGGAGAGAAGGAGCCATGGGGGCTGCAGCAGCTGGGAAATGATTTTGAGCCAGTCTTGATGGGAAAGCAGGATATGCAAATGAGGGAGGAGAATCAGGTTGGATGGATGTGCTGGACCCAGATTATGAAAGGTCTTGAGAGTCCAGACGGAAAGTCTGGACAACAGGACACATTGATGGGTCTTCAGAAGGGCAGGTCCAGGAGGAAAGTGTCTAGGAAGGTATGTCCTAAGTCTGTTGGCTGAATTGGGGCAGAGAGTCATAGAGGCTACACTGTCATCCCAGAGAAGAGTGATGGCAGCCACAGAAGTGGAGAGGATAGAGAAACATTTTAAAGGCCAGATGAGAGGACTTGGTGCCAGATGGGAGAATGGAAATAATCAGGGTTGAATTCAGGAAAAATGATGGGTGAGGTTTCCTGCTGGAAGTAGGCCAGCTGCAAAGGGAAGCTGAAGCCCTTTGCTAAGAAGGAATCTATGCTCTTCCTCAACTTCCTATACCCTCCTTGGGTGGAGCCAGATTTGAGACCAAAGGGCATCTGAGCCCTGTACCACGGGTCCAAGGTCAAGGATCCCTATGCTGCCCTGGAATGGGGTAGAGGAATCATGCTTCTAGGACTGTACCTACCGATCATAGTCCATAACCGAGATGAGCAGGCTGACTTGATCCATGTTTTCTGGGGGAATGTCAAAGATGATGGCCTCATTGTAGACAGGATTGAGAGTGTTCTTCTTAATGGTTGTTTTCTTCTTCTTCAGTCTCCTCCCATCACAAAGCAGGGACACTTTGACATAAGGATCTATGCCAATTGGGGGCAGTACAAAGGGAAGGAAGTGTGTTAAACAGATGTCCTACATTAAATGGAAGCCTGGGACCTACTGCTGCTCACCCGGGGTATCAATGAGTCGTTAAAATAATTAAACCACCTTGTATTTATTTATGTAGCACACCTGTCTCTGAGGAGGTGTCATGCTTAATAAACACAGAGTCTTTAGCTACCTCAGTATTCTTGGGAGAGTGCTTAATGGACTTTCCCTAATAGACAAGCCAGCCCTGATTCAGACAAGACACTTGCCTGTGCATGTGCAGTCCCCAGCCTTAAATCTCAGCCCCACAATGGCTGGCTGGCTCAAAAGGGTATTGAAGCTGAAAATGACACTGTTTCTTTCACTAAATAGTCATTTTTCTCTGGAGGGTTTCACTGGCATTGTTAACCCCAGGATAAAGGGGGTTAAACACTGGACTCCAGGGTACCCAATAAATAGCCACGTGTCACGATGAAACCAACAGCAGCGATCAAAAAGTCCATATCCTCCCCACCTGACAACATGATTTGGGGTACCAGTGTCCCAGTAATCTCCTTTCCATTTGGCAGCAAGAAGAGGGGAAGTGGCCCTGCTCTCTACTTCCCTGGAAGCCATTTCCTGCCCACCCCGGAGCAGTGAAAGAGGAAGAAGCCAGGGCCAGGAGAACGAGTGAGACTGTCCTGACAGTCAGGGCAGCTGGTTGACATTTCATTTCTCAGTGGGGTCTTGGACTCTCTCCATGCTGCACACTGATGTCTTTTTATTAAACTTGGAAGTGCCTCCCAATCTTGTCTCCTCTTTAGTTTTTTGAATAGGTCTTTCATGGCCACCTTTCTACCCTGAAATTTTCTACTCATCCAAATGAAGTGACATCTATTGTATCTCATAGCACAGGTATTTTGGTCACCATGATAATTAGTATTGATGTTATAAAGCGCAAGAAACAAGAGAGCAAGCTGGAGGTAATAATAGCTTTGAGATGCTGATGGGTTGAGACACCTCTTTGCCCAGGAACCAGGGTTCATGTGAACCTGTCAGGAGCGCTGGGCCAAAGCAGCCGCTCTCTGCTCTATGGTTCCCAGGCATACGGTTCTGCCTCCTGGTCAGGAGCACCCACTAGGCCTCGTGCTCTTTGGCATCTTGCAGGGGGAGCAGAGGAGGCCCCACACTTATGGTGGAAGCTAGAGAAACTACAGAACCTGCTCAGAAGCTCCAAGCCTTGAAGGCATTTCTAGAGATGTCTTAATGAGTTGCTGACTAACCAATGTGACTGTGGCAGCTGTGCCTTAATCATGGGGACACTTAGGTTTATGGAAGAACTGGGGAGACCATGAGGAATTTAATCAACCTGCTATCTCTGATCACCCATTTGTGAGCCCTCTCTTGGGGATTTTCAGTAAACAGGAAGGAGAACCTGTAATTGGCAGCTTTGTGGTTTCTACAGGCTCCATTCCCTATGGATATGGATCAGGACGTTGGTCAGATCCAAGCACACAGGTGGGAAGAGCTGGCCCCAAACCTGTTCTTTAATACTCAGCTCCTTATGGCTGTGAGTTGCCTTAGAAAGCATCTTCAGGCTTACGTTGCTCAAATATGCCTGGTTCATCGGTCTATACCTATTTCTAGACACTCTGCTCAGAGCACATTTCCATACCATGAGGCATAGAAAAATATAGGCAGAGTCACTTGTTCCACGGGCCACTTGGAAAATGCCTTAGCAATCTTTCCCAACTCTGTTTATCCCTATAAGGCATATCCAATTTATAGATTTCAGTGGGCATATTTCCCCTTCTGGAATCAACCAATACTTTCACCAGTGGGCATATTTCCCCTTCTGGAATCAACCAATACTTTCTTGAGGCTAGGCAGAGATTAAAAAAAAAAAAAAAACTGTTCCCTAGGGTTCTCCAGGGAAAAGTTCATGGTGTCTAGTGGAATGATGGCCCTGGATGATCTTTGAGGCCTATCTTTCTCTATGATGCTCTACATAGTTGATCAAGGGACACAAAGACCAGCAGTATATTTCAGGCTCATTGTTATGGGAATCGTGAGGATTTGTCATTTGGGATATCCAGGCATTGTGTTCATTGATCAGGTCACTTCAACTTTATACCCACCCTATAAAGTTTGTGTCATCAACATCTCTATTGCAGTGGCAGGGAAATTGAGGCATAGGGAGATGAAGAAACTTGCCTGGGATTTGAACCCAGGTCTGACTCTAAAGCTCACCTTTTGATCACTGGATTCAAAGAAATGCTGACCAGATAGGGCAGAGGTGAGAGGGTTAACTGACTTGCCACCCCTTGGTAGCATACTATTTTGTACTGTCTTTATTGTCATGGTTCTATCAAGTGGGCTTAAGGAATTGACTTGGGTTAGTTTAGATAGGAGAGAATAGAAAGATCCTTGGTTTAAAGGTCAATGTCATGTAAGTTGGAACAGGCAACTAATAAGCTCCTTTCACCCCCCAATTTAGTCCAACATCAGACCAGTTAGGGCTAAAGGCAACCTCAAATTCATCCTCAGAAACAGGAGATCTAGGACTGCCATGGTGGCTCATGCCTATAATCCTAGCTAGTCAGGAGATGGAGATCAGGAAGATCAGGTCAGCAGATGCAAAAAGTTCCCAAGATCCCCATCTCAATCAATAAAAGTTGGGTGTGGTGGCATGTACCTGTCATCCCAACTATGCAGGAAGCATAAATAAAAGGATCACATACATAAATGTGAGACCGTATTTGAAAAATACCTGAAGCAAAAAGGTCTGAGGACATGGTTCAATTGGTAGAGCACTTGCTTGGCAAACGCAAAGCCCTGAGTTCAACCCCAAGTACCACCAAAAGCAAGCAAACAAACAAATCCCAAACAACAAAAACCCCCCAGGAGATCTAGTATGAGAGCCTCTGGTACACACACATTGACTCCATCACCCTTGAGCCAGGTTCCTCATGCTATAAATGAATTCACTCATTAATTTTTTGCTCATTCATTCATTCATTCCTTAATCCATACTTAAAGAGTGCATATTGTGTTGCATGCATCACTCCACATGCTTGCTTACATCAGTGAACAAAACAGACAAACTTCCCTGATGCATCCCTGCATTTTCAGGATTTCCAAACCTAGGCAGAGAAGAGGGGCAACTGAGAGGGAAGTTAGAACTTGGTAAAAAGAATCTCCCACCCACAATCCTCTGATTTGCAGGGGCCTTTGAGATTACAGATGGTTTCACCCTGATCTCTCTCTCTCTAGCATCAATTTCATCACACCAGAGAAGACAGTGTGGGGACTAAGAGAGCAACATCCTCTTTCCCTCAGCAGCCTTGAGTATCCTCACTGAATTTCTGTCCCCACATGCACTTATTTTGGTTTTAAAATGAAATCCATATTGGCTGTATTTTGGGGGAAGCCGACTTGCTGCTGCCTGAGGTTTTTTGCAAGTCAGCAGAGGTTTGAGAAGCTCTGTGCTTTGCATCTTGATGTGTGTAGGCAGCTTCAGTGGAACCAGGAGCGGGCTCTTCATGTGGGCTTTTGGCCTGAAGGGGGGCACCAGAGAGGTAATTAGGGGATGGAACAGATGGACCATCTCTTCTTTTTTTTTTTTTTGTTTCCCCATCCTGGGAATTGAACTCAGGGTCTTACACATGCTAGGCAAGCACTCTCATCCCTAGCCCTTAATTTTTTGACACAGAATCTTACGACATAGCTCAGGCTGGCCTTGAACTCGCTTGCTATGTAGCCCAAGGTGACCTCAAATTAGAGATTTTCCTGCTTCTGCCTCCAGAGTGCTGGGATTATAGGCATGTGCCACTTCATCCTGTACCATCATTGCCTCTTTATGGCAACTGTGAGAAGTCTTCCAGGAAGTAGATAACTAATAAATACAAGTGAAATACATAGAAATTTGTTCAATATATTCCTAGCTAAGTTCAGCAGCCTCTCTTCAGTGGTTTTGCACTAGCAATCAGAATCATCAAATGGGTCTCTTGAGTGAGCAGAGGTCTGGGAAAACAAACCAAGGCTTTTCCCACATTCACATCCAGTGTATTCTATGTGCCATTCCTTGGGAGGCTCCAAGCCTTGAGCTACTGCTTTGTTATCTCCAAACTCAGATAAGTTCTCCTACAATAACTTGCAGAATTGCAGAGGGTGTTGCAGAGTGGTGGGGTTGAGGGAAGGGGATGAAACTTCTGATACCATGGCCAGCCTGCTGGTCTCTGCAGCTGCCCTCACACAAGGACGACTTCCATTCCACTGGTGCTCAGTTCTCTTGGAGTGAGGCTGAGGCTGGGAGCCCAGCCACAAAAACTCAAAAGCAAACCTTTGCTTTTCATTAAATTTTGCTCCTTTGACTCAACATGCAGGGCTGCTGCCCAGGCCTGTGTGGACCTGCAAACATTTACATACACAGACTCCACATAACCCTTCTGGAAAGTAGAAGATAGTCTCTAGGCTTTTGCCTCCTGTATATTTCCTCCTGATTCTCTTCTTCCTCTAAGAAGAAGAATGATAGTAATGGCTAATGTCTACCAGGTACTTATGATGTGTCAGGAGCAATGCTACATATTTGCACAGACTAGCTCATTTATGCTGACTGCAGCAGTGTAAGGTGTTATCATTCCCACTTTTCAGATTAAAGAAACTGATATAATTTGGATCTTAACTGTCCTGTGTGTTGAAGGCTTGGTTCCCAGCTTGTGGTGCTCTTGGGGGGTGGTGGAACCTTTAGGAGGTGGAGCTTAGTGCAAGAAAGTTAGGCCATTGAGGGTGTGCCCTTCAAGGAGATATTAGAACCCTGGTCTCTACTCTTCTCCTCTTTTTGCTTCCTTTCTGCCATGATGTGACTAGGCCTCCTTTCATTATGTGCTCCTTCTGTGATGCACTGTCTCACCACAGGCCCAAAGCAACAGGGCCAAGCTACCATAGACCGAAACCTCTGGAACTATGATCCAGAATAAACCTTTCCTCATTTAAGTTGATCATCTCAGATATATGCTGTCATGGTGGCAGAAAGCTAACAGAAACTTCAGCCTTCACATAGGAAGCAAGTGGCAGGAGTAGAATTTGTATGCAGGAACTTTGCCTCCAGAGCGGGTGCTCCTATTCTAAGAATACTGGCAATTCTTGCCTCTTCTTCCAGTACTCTCCCAAATCCTACTGGACTTCAGGGAGGCCATGTGGCTGGCCACAGGTGTAGGAGAGGTACCTGAATAGCCCGTGATGTCCATCGCCTTGAGGTTGCGACATTTGATCACGGTGAGAGTGAGCCTCCCCGCCGTGGGCAGATAGCAAAGAGAAAACATGATCTCTCCCAAGTCTACGCTTTCCTGCAAAGAAGCAGACAAGAGGCAGGTGAGGGGCAGGTTGTGGCTTCGCTCCCTGTACAGTGGCTCTGGGACCCAGGAGAAGGCTCTTGGAACCATAGCACCATATATTAAAGACCCCAGGACTGGCAACCATGCTGGGAGTCACTGGGAATAAAAGGCAATGATAGTAATATTCCCCCTCAGTAACATTTTCCCCCTTCGATGTTCCTTCTCACTTTTGGTCCCAATCTTTGCATTCTGCTTTGGCCAGACTTTCCGTGTGTGTGCCTCTTGGCCACAGCCCCTTGGTGGTCCATTCTTGTCCTCCTCGGGCTCAACCTGCCCCATCATTGACCCCCTTGACTTCCCACCTGTCCAGATATGTGGCCACGACTGTCTTGGACAAGACACATGCTCCAGCCATCGTGTGGTCCCTCCCTTAGCACTTCTGCAATTCTTTTCTGCTCTGCTCCTCAATGATTCTCTGTTAACCCTTCTGCCTTGGCATCTTCCTTTTCTCCCCTGAAACACACCCAGCCTCTAACTTCCAGTCCAGGTGTAGACGTGCAAGGAATGGATATCCTGCTCAGGACATGATGCCAACCAACCAAATGTACTCTGGCCATCCCATGCCTGATGGCCAGTCTTAGATTAACTTGCCCTTTTCCTTAAATATAATCATCCTTCAAAAATAAACTCAGTGAGGACCATACACTTGGTTGCTCTCCTGACCCTAGAATTATCACAGCCAGTGATCCCTTGAAATTTCTGAGAGAATGGGAGAACTTCCCTTCCTAGAAAGTTTTGTCACCTTCCTAGAGAGATGGCCACATGTCCATTGGTGTACTATATAACACATTGCCAGAATGCTTTCTTTTCCTGTTGCCCACTTCTCAAAGTGGGGAAAAGCTGGCTTGGAATTCCAAGATATGGAGATGTTTCCTTCTTTAGGGTTTCCAGAGCTAAGTTTGAGGAAGAGGAGGAGTTCAGGGTTTCAGGTTGCTCTGATTTCTCCTCTTCTTTGCTGGTTCAAAATTCAACAATTTTTATCCCCAAATTCAGGTTCTGTCTGTATTCATTCATTCATTCAGTCAGTCAATCATCCAACAAATATTTATTGAGTACCTGCTATGCTATGTACTAGGTATTGACCTGATGCTGGGCATGTGGTAGAAAACATAGACAAAAATCCTTGCCTTCATGGGAGCTTACACGAAGGCCAAGGACAATAGTAAAAAGGTAAGTAAGTAAGATAGTCAAAAGTATCAAGGAGGAAAATGTCAGGCAAAGAAGGGTGATATAAAAGGACCATAGAGGAGGCTATAGTTATTGAATTCTTAGCCAGGGAAGGCATCTCTGACTTCTGAGAAGAGGAACTAAGGATGACACCACGGTTTTGTCCCTTCTTCTCACAAAGAAACACACTCTGCTGGAGACTTATGGAGTCTTGGCTCCATTTGAGAATTATCCAAGATGGCTCCCACTCACCTCATAAGAGCCTGTTTTCCCAATGTTCTCCTCTAGGTGGCACTTACACCCACCCTTCCCTAGCTCTACATCTATCTCTTTGTCTACCTTGCCTCTAATAAAATCCCAGGAGTACTGCAGAAGGGCTGGGGCCAGAGCTGAACATTTGTACAGTCAGCTACATCATCCACTATCCAGGACCTCCTGGTCTCCATAGAGCCAGCCATACAAGACTAATTCTTGTGGAGCTCAACCTTGAATGCATCTCCACTGTTGGGGGCTCCCAGCAGCTCTGAGTGGCAGGATTGGTGCCACAAATTCCTTGAATATCCTCAGGTTGAAAGCCTCACTCAGCTAGTTGGACCCCAGACTCGGGAGAATGCTCCTTACTTTCCACCTGCAGTAGAGCCCCTGTCAGCTCACTAGGGAGCATGTAATGATAACCCTGGCTCTTCCAGCCTTTACACTGCACTGCATCCATTTGTACATCATTGGTTGATCCATTTTGGTGTTTTGTGTGTGTGTGTGTGTGTGTGTGTGTGTGTGTGTATGTGTGTGTGTATGGTACTAGAGGTTGAAGTCAGGGTTTTGGACTTGCTAGGCAGGTGGTCTACCACTTGAGCCATGACCCTCAGCCCTTTTTGCTCTGGTTATTCCAGAGCTAGGATCATGTGTTTATTTTTTTTTTTTTGCCCAGGTGACTTGGACTACGACCCTTCTACTTTATGCTTTGTGCTGTCCCTAGGATGACAGGAACACAGTTTTTTCCATTGAGATGGGGTCTTGCAAACTTTTCCACCTTCACTGGCCTAGAAACTGGATCCTCCCAATCTCAGCCTCCCTAGTAGGTAGGATTACAGGCATGAATCACTGGTGCCCACCTCTTTGGTACATTCTTATTTGCTGAGTGACTGTGGAGCATGGTGTTTTGTGAAGCATATACGGTACCTACACACATATAATCTAGTAGGATGTGACCAGTTCTAGGAAGTTCCTAGGATCCCCATCTTCCTCAGGTGTGCTTTCTGTGTCCTTAATCCCCTCATCAAGGAAGGGAGACACAGAAGCTGCCCCATGCCCCATCATTGTGGGAATGTGACTGCCCTGTCCTGTAGCAGGGATCAGATCTGTGTATATCTAACTGAATGTCCCATCTCTGACAGAGGTACAAGCAGAAGCTCAATTTCTTTTATTTCTCCTTAACACCCACACAAGATTTAATCCTGCCCAAAGTTCCAGAAACCCTTTCAGACTGGCTAAGAACCACAACAGGAGCTAGTACCGCACAGTGCCCACGTGCCTGGCATTCTGCTGCATCCTTTGCTAAATTCTCTCAGTGAGCCTCAGCCCAGCCCTCAGAGGTAGGTGCTCTTATTATCCTCACTGCACACAGGAAAAAGCGATGTGAAGCTAAGGATTCATCATCCAAGGTTGCATGAGTAGTGAGTGCTTTGGTGCCAGACTTTCATACATCATTGTAGCTTCTCAGAGACCCTCAGTGGCTCTTTTTGTTTGGTTTCTGAATCAAGACTCACCTTAGCTTGCATTGGGGCTCTCACCGATGGAGTCTGTCTTACCTCCTCACCTTATTCTCTCTCTCCCCCTCCTCTTGGCCAACCCCTGCTCCACTAGGGTGATATTACCTGGGAAGAATTCTGGAAGCTCCTACAGCCCCTCTGAGAGGGAATAATCAAAGCTGCTGTCACCATGTCCTCACTACTGCCATGCTACAGAAACAGAGTGGCATTTCATAGTATATCTCCTCTGGGAAGTCTGAGTTGGTTTGTTTATGGACCTGGGAGACTTGCCTCAGGGTAAATAGAGTCTCCCAGGGCTCTACGAATGGCTGATTTCCTCCAGGGGGTACACTGGCCCACAGGACCCCCTGTTTCTGCTGAGATACCCTTTCTCACAGGACTATGGCAGCTAGGGACATATAGGTGGTGGGTCTGGAGTATATGGAGTCCCCAGCCCCTGCAACCAGTGGTGACTTCCACCTTCCACAGGTCCATCTATGGGCCCACACAGGTGAAAGAACCGGGAGTAAACGGGACTAAGGGCCTGAAGCCTAGCTTGGGGGTGCTTCTGCATTGGGAGACTGGGCTGATCTTGGCTCAGTGGCTTGAAGGAATATTGCCCCTCTGCACATGAAGGTCACAGAGGACTGAGTTATTTGATGACGGAAAATAACTAGGTGAATTCTGAGTAAATGGAGAGGTAGGAGTCAAGCAAACAAAGATACTATCTCCTGGTAGCCACCCTTCCTCTGGGAAGGCAGGCCCCATCTCAGCTTCAGCTGCCTGTGCCCTGCCCAATCTGCCTCAACCTGTTTCAGGAAATTTTAGCCCCAAATCCTATGCGTCTTACCAGCCTTTATCTTCATTAGGAGTGTTTGATACTTTGACCTTTAATAAAAACCAGAGTGACCAGGGGCCACAGAGCAGCCTGCATCTTAAATTGCTTTCATCTCCACTGCTGTCAGAGTTTGCCTTAAGCCCCTGACTGGTAATGAGCTCCCAGGGCAGGAGAGGTCATTGCTGTCCATGAAGCAGCAGAAACCAGTTCAGCCCTGTAGACTCCCAACCCAGGGGCAGATAGGATGGATCAGAGCTCACAGAGTTCAGGAGCAGCTGGCTCAAAGTCTTGGTTAGTGCTCGTTGCTGGAGGGCCTGCAGCCGGGGGAGGAGAAGCCAGGAAGTTGGTTCCTGGAGAAATCGCTCCTTAGTTGCAACCCATAATAGCATGTTCCCTGGTTGCAGAGCCCAGGGAACCTGAGCAGTGAGCTTCTGAAGGTCCATCCATTGCAGTACTGCTCTTGCAGTCCAGAGTTCACTGACACATTTCTTTCTCCTTGATGCACTCACATAGCCCCAGGCAGGCATTAAAAAAAAAAAAATTCTATCTCTGGGCTTCCAGACAAGAGAAGTGAGCCACGAGTCAAGAGATCCCAGCTATTAGTCCCTCTGCCACTAGTTAGCTGTGAGACCTTGAGCAAGTCATTTTTCATTTCTGTGCTCTTGTCTGTGAATGGAGGGGTAGTACTAGATGATCTGTCTTGCTAGCTTAAAGAACCAAGGATTCACACTAGAAAATCTCATGGCCAACCATCACCAACTGAGATAGCCCACGGACACTTAACTGGCATCCATGGCCCACCTCAAGGAATCTAGCAATTTTGTTTTGAAGTCTAAATGCTCTCATTCCTTCAGCCCCATGGCCCAAGAACGTCCTACTAGCATGCTTCTTCCTAAATAGGCAATGAATGGTGTCTATGCTCCAGTCTGCCTTGGGAATCCAGGATGAGCAAAGAAGGAGGATGCTTGCCCATCTCTTAGAGAACACTTCTTGTCTCTTAATCACTAAGTGGCTTGTCTGAATCTCTCATCATCAGCAGAGAAGCATCCGCTACACTTTCAGGAGTACAACAGACCTAAAAAGGATCGCAGAAGCACTGGGCAGGAAGTACTGTTAAGTTACTCAGGACCAACGAAGCCTGGAAGAGAGATGGGGTAGAAGCCAATTTGGCTTCAAGAGATAAAGAAACATCCAGTGAG